GGGCTGGCTTCATGGGTGTGCAACCTGTGCAGGCTGAGTGCCCCATGCTCAGAAGGGCCCTGAGCTTGGATAAATGTTTTGCTGTCCCATACTGAAATCCTTCATGACTTTTGAACAAGGGGTCTCATATTTTCATTTTGCACTAGGTCTCACAAATTAGGCAGCCAATTCTGAAGCACAGAATTGAGTACCTGCCATGCAAACTTGGCTGCTCTTATCTGGAGCTAAGTCTCTTTATCCATGAAACGGTCAAGAAGGGAAGGACCTTGACTTTGATGTTTGCCTTTTTTCTCGATTCTGGAATCAATGGTCTTTCTGAAGAGATTTAGAGCTATGGGACTTTCCAATTTATTTCCAACAGAAAAATAAATGGAATCCCAGTGTTTTCTGGCTTCTCAAAGCATGTACATAGTCTGAGGAAAGACAGGAAAGAGTGAGGGAATCACCATTTGAAGGAACCGAGGGCCAGGCTGGTTTCCTTGTCTGTTTAGTGACAATATGTATGATCTTGTACAGTTGTGAGGAGGAAATGATACTATGTGCACAAAGTGCAAGGAACATAAGCCCAGTGAATGGTAGCTGTATAGTCATGGAACTCCAAGAAAATGTTTGTGACCCTGCCTGTGCATGATGGCAAACTGTGCTTCCGTTGTTTCCCCATCTCTAAAATCCAGTGATATGCAATGAGTGCCTATTCTATGCCAGGTACACAAGGGCAAATATCTTACGGTTTATAGAATGTTGTTGTTCTTAGGCGCCATTGAGTTGGCTCCGACTCCTAGCGACCCTGTGTATAACAGAATGAAACACTGCCTGGTCCTGCTTGAGCACATCATTGCAGCCACCGTGGCAATCATTCCATCTCATTGAGAGTCTTCCCCTTTTTCACTGGCTCTCTGCTTTACCAAGCTTGATGTCCTTCTGCAGGGACTGGTCCCTCCTGCTAACATGACCAAAGTTTGAGAGAAGTCTTGCCATCTTTGCCTCTAAGAAGCATTCTGGCTGTACTTCTTCCAAGATAGATTTGTTCATTCTTGTGGCAGTCTATGGTATATTAAGTATTCTTTGCCAAAACCACAACTCAAATGCATCAATTCTTCTTTGGTCTTTATTTATTGTCCAGCTTTCACATGCATATGAGGTGACTGAAAGAAAATATCATGGCTTGGGTTAGGCACACCTTAGTCTTCAGAGTGACATGTTTGCTCTTTAACACTTTAAACTGTCAGCAGATTGACAAATTGAACGAGGAATGGCATCGCATTCATCATCTAAAAGAACATTTCAAGATCTATCCTGCAGTACAATGTGTCAGTGATAGGATAATATTCATACAAGAAGAGCAGTTAATGACCCATAATCAATGCCTATGGAAGCAGCAGTCAAGAAATCGAGGACAAAATGTACTGGGCAAATCTGCTGCAAAACGTTTAAATATTGCTCTGCAATTCTATAATCCTTCAGTTCTGTGCCAGCTGTCAAAAATGGGATTCTAAGACTACATGGCTCTTTACAAATGTTACCTCACGCACTCTTCATGCAATCCTATGAAGAGAGATATTTTCATCCCCATTTCTCAGGTAGGGAAACTGAGGCTCAAAGAAGTAACTTGTGGCCAAAGTCACACAACTAATGAATGGAGCTAGGATTTTAACCATTTTCTGTAAACTCCAAAACGAAACTTTTGCGCTAGTATCTGTGATTGCATATGGGTCTAATGCCCTCATTCTAGGCCCCTTGGGGCCTAGAGGGGCGGAGTATGGTTGGATGAGGGTGGTCTAGCTCGGGGGAGGGCCGGATGTCTTCCCAAATCGCCCAAGCTCACTTTGGCCTCCAGGTGTCCCAGTTCTTATTCTGAGTGCCTCCTCGGCCCTGGGTTATTTGGCCACGTGCGACCACGAGATGGCGCGCTGGGCTGGAAGCCTCCAGCCAGAGCCAATGGGACCGCGTGGACACTTCATTCAGTGAGGCAAGGTGAGGTGCCGGGTCATGCCCTCACCAGGGAGGGTGAGCCTGCGCAGTAGAATGGCGCCAGCGTCCATCCTCCCACTGAAGAGCAACCATCGCTGTTTTGCAGATGAAGAAGCTGCAGCTTTGCGCGGAAGTCACCCGGCCCAGCGCTCGCCTCCCCCCCCCCCCCAAAAAAAAAACCCAAATCAACTGCCATCTAGTCGATTCAGACTCCTATCGACCGCAGTTGGGTTTCCAAGGTTGGGAAGTAGATTGCCTCATCTTCCTCCGGGAAATTGCTGGTGGCTTTGAATCACCACCTTTCTGGTTAGCAGCCAAGTGCCTTACCTAGGCACTGTGCCACCAGGGCTCCTTAGAGCTCACCTAGGCCCCTGCCTCCCTTACAAAAGTCCTCTGTTCCTCTTTTAAGACTCTTACTTCCCCTGACCCTCCCCCAAGGACTCTTTCCTTAATCGGGCCTCTGGGAAGATCCAGCTTCATTGGGTGAAAGTCTCTAGGACCTCTCCTTCCCTGACATTTTTAGTTTCTCTGGTCCCAAGCAATCTGAGTGTGAGAGGGGTGAAGGACAAGAACCCTGGGGACGCTGTCTAACCCCAACTCCCCCCCCCCCCCCCCCAAACACACTGACCACTGAGCACAAGCTTCACCCACTGGGGCCTTGGGCTCTGGGACTCTGGTGGGAAAGTTCCTTACTGATGACGCTCCTGGTCTGAATATTCTGGGTGCCTTTGCTCACTGATGACCCCTCCCAAGCGTGAGCCCCCTCTGTCTAGCCCACCTGTCCTTAGCTGTGCAGATAAACCACCTACAGGAAGCCTCTCAAACCCTCCACAGGGCTCTCACAGCTCCTTTTGCTGCTTAGTTAGGTGTTCTGTTGGTGTCCTTCTCCCCTTCCACCCCAGGATTTGAGTCCCCTTGGGGCAGATGCGGGAGTGGATTCATATTCCTGCAGGGCTGGGCATATAGGAGGTATCATGAACGGTCTATCACTGAAGGTGATGGATACTCCTATAGATTTTGCCAGTTAGAAGGAAGTGAACTCTTGTCATTGGCAGTGAGCAAGCAGGTAAGCTATCACAACAGTTCAAATACCAAGTTGGCAGGATGAGCAGAGTACTGTTGGAACACCTAGAAGGAACTGGAAGGGTCACAGGTAAAGATTCTGAGAAGCAGGAACTGGGTCTATTAGGATGGGGAGTTTGAGAGGCAGGGATCAGGCGAAGTGTCTCACCAAGAAACAACCTGAGAACAAGGGCACAGAGGTGTGCAAGAGTCTGGCAAGTTCATGGCTGTAGCTGGACTGGGGTGGCTGGAGTTGGGGCAGCAGGAAGAGGGGAGATGAGGAAGGTGGGCAGGGTATAGGCTGCAGCAGAAGGTCCAATTTTACCAAATAACTCTCAGCTTCATGTGACCTCACTCCCCAATTCCTGGGAGGCTTTTCAGAGAGAACAAGTGTCCCAGGGCAGAGCCTGACCTGACACATCTTGTGTCACATCCTAGTGACTGTCAGTGAGCACTACTGGTAGAATGAGGAACTCTTTACAGTGTTTATTAAACCAAGGACCAATCAGGTGCCGGGTGGGGCTGATGGGGAAGGCTGGAGTCCTCACTGCCCCTCCCCTTGTAGGCACCTCTATGGAACCAGCCCAATGCCCACAAAGCCACTTAAGGCTATCTTCCATCTGCCCACCCCCTCCCCAACGCATCCTAGGGCACAATATCGCAAAAGTGAACGAATGCAAACTTTCTTCTTTTACAAATGGCATGTTTCTGTCCCCTGCCAGCAGGGGTAGCGGGGGGCTGAACATTATAGTTCATTAAAAAAGGCAACAAGTTTTATAAAACCAAGACCAAGAGCCCAGGACTGGGAAGCTGAGATGCCACCCTGGGGGTGGAGCATACAGGTGAGTGGTGGATCCTGCTTCCTTCTGCTGCATCCTCAAGAGGGTGAGACGACTTGTGGGGCTATGGAAGCTGAACCAAGGCTCCCCCATAGAGCTCCCGTGGCCAGATGGGGCTCCAGGAACTGCATTAGTTCCTTGCTAAAGCATATAGAAGCAGTGCCTTGGGGGTCAGTGGGCACATTTCCAGTTTTGATGCTGGGGGACCCCAACCCAGAATGAGGAAGAGACTGACGTGCCCCAAGCTTCCAGAGGCTCTGAGGGGTGAATGGCTTAGCCCATGCCAGAGCTGGTCAATGGGCCTGGAGTCTACCTCTGAGGCCCTTGCCTAACCTAATGTCACTGCTCCTGGGGATGATGGAGAAAGGGCAAAAACATCAGGATGTGGATCGTGGCAGCAAGGGTAAGCCCGGGAAATGCAGGGCTGGGAAGAGAAGATGGGAAAGTGCAAAGGGCCCGACCTGGGCAGCAGGAGACTGGATTCCAGTCATGGCTCTGCCCTCATAGGACTTCCAATTACCATTTTTCCTTCTCTAGGCCTCAGTTTCCCCAGCTGTCACATGAGGAGGGTAAACTTGATTTTCTCTGTAGCTGGACTATATCCCTTCTATTACTAAGGTTTTATTCAGGGTTCCAGGGAAGGAGAAAAAGATGACATGGGCTCTCTGTGCCCAGTGATGAGGGAGGCTATGACATAAAAGAAACTCATGCTCCTGAGTGACTGGACCATGGCCCACGGGGGTGCCCAGTCTGGTGGAACTGAATTCTGCCCTGCAGCAGTGGCTCCCTTTCACCCTCCTGTCACACGTCAGATTGGCCCTAGCCTAAGGGAAGGCACTTTGGGGACAATTGGGGAAGGGCAGTAGGAAGGGGTCAAGAGTCTGGTTTGGCATTGAAGTCCTTCTGCTCATGGTTTGGGGAGGCAACAGAGACAAAGGGGCAAGACATTGGTCCTGGGTGTTGGCTCCCAGGTCCAAAGCCTCTCCCTAGGTCCACAGCTCCTGCTGCGACACTGCCACATCAGCTGCAGACTCCCCACTGGCATTGGCACATGAAAATATAAATTACCCAGGATCCAAGCAAGCTCAGGGCAGCAGTCTGTTATGTGGCCTCAGGCCACATCTTTTGTCACAAAGTGTTGGGGCCCTTGGCTACAGATTCCCGGGTGTCTATGCAGTGCAGGGCCACTTTGGGGCTGGAGCCAGGTTGCCGAGGGTAGGTGCCCTCCCGCACCAGGCGCCGACACTGCACATCTTGGCCCACACTGAGGCGCTGCAGTGCCGGGAGGTGGTGGAGCAGCATCTCAGGCAGGGGTACCAGGCCTGTGCCCGACAGGTCCAGTTCCTGCAGGGAATCCAAGCCTGAGAATACCTCCGCTCCAGCCCACTTGAGCTTGGGGTTGCCCGACAGGTCCAGGACCTGCAGGCCCGGCAGCTCACGGAATCCATAAGGCTCCAGCTGAGGAACACCCTGCAGGCTGCCCAGTGACAGGTGTGTAAGGTCAGCCAGGCCCACGAAGGCACGTGGGCCGATGGCAGCCAGTGGGTTCCCATCCAGGCTGAGGTAGTTCAGGGGCAAGTCTCGGAGGTTGGGCACAGCGTGGAGCTGGTTCCAGGCCAGGTTCAGGCTCTGGATGGCAGGCATGGGCAGGCTGGACTGTGAAGGGCGGGGCATGAGGTGGTGAATGAGATTATAGGAGAGGTCCACATGCAGTCCCCTGCCTTGGCTATGGGTTGTGAAAGCAGACATGGAGACCTCACGGAGCCGGTTGTGGCTAAGATTCACGTCAGTCAGGGGTGAGCTGGCGAAGCTTTCGGCCGGCAGGGCTGCCAGGCCATTGTGGCTGAGGTCGAGTGACTCCAGGTAGCGAAGACGGGAGAAGGTACTGGGGGAGATGCTGGTGAGCAGGTTGTGGCTGAGATCCAGCCCGGCCAGTGTGGTATAGCCTGGCCCTGCCAGCCCTGACTCGTTCACTGTCTCCAGCCGGTTGGAGGACAGGTCCAGGTGGGCTGTGTCCAAGGGGATGGGCACAGGCATGATGTGGGGGCCCAGGCCGCTGCAATCCACTCGCGTCAGGCTGAAGCTGTCAAAGAGGCCAAAGGTCTCCACCTCACACTGGCACCCGGGGAAGCAGGGCCGGGTTGTCTGGGCCCCGGTGATGGCCAGCAATAGCAGCAGGGACAGCAGCAGGGGCCACGGCATGATGGGGGCTAGAAGAAGACAGTCACAGGTAAGGGATGGCAGCAGGAACCTCATACCAGATGGTTCTAACCCCATCCCTTAAGACATGAGAAAACGTCTCTAGACACAGCACGAAGTTGCTACCAGACCTTTGGGAAGAGAGGGACACATCTCACTAGCTCCCTTCCTCTGGGGATGCTTTTACTGAATACTCCCCACACAATTCCCAGTCCTTGTTCCTCTCTAGCCTCAGTCTCCCCAGCTGCATGGTAAAGGGGTTAGGCCAGATTGATGGATTTAAACTGGAAGTAGCAGAACCCTTTTTTTAAAGACCAGCAGATGAAACCAGGCCTGCTCTGGCTGAAGTGAGGTGGAGGCCTGGAGTCCCTTTGTTTCCTCACCATCCCTGCCACAGGGGGATTAGGAACTCACTTTGAAACCCACTGAACTTGCTAGCCCTCCCCCGCCACCTTCTATGTCCAGACCAGCCTTTACCGGGGAGGGGCTCACAGTTTACAGGGAGGCTGACTCAGCAGGAAATCTGTCGGAGGATGGGCCAACATGCCCTGCTCCCCTCTGCTGAGCATGGACTCTGTGCTGGGTGCTGTGCTGTCTCAAGGCAAGGTCTCCTAACCACCCCACACAGCAGAATTTTCTATCACCATTTCACAATGAGGCAACTGGAACTGAGGACACAAAGTCCAGTGGGAGTAGAATTAGACACCTGTCTAGATACGGTACAGACAGAAGCAGGGCCCACTATCATGGTCTGGCAGGGGCTGCCCAGGGTTCTCTTCCTGCAAGGTAGAACTGCAGTGACTGTCCCTCCTCACCCCTGCTTGTAGACGAAAGTGTAGGTCCACAGGCCTGAGCCTCCTCACCTGGCCTGCCCACCAGACTCCAATGGGTCTTCTGTGTCTAGACTCCCAGATGAAAGCCCCTTTCTCCCTTGCCCTGCCCCTAGCTTGTTCAGGGATTACACCTCTCTGGTCCTTCCTTTAACCCAGAGCAGGCAATGGTAGTGACAGCTGACATGTAAAGGGTACAGGCACGCAGACTGAGAACCCCCTGAATAACCATGCTTGTAAATGCTCCCTGGGATTGCTGGATGAGGTCCTTGCTCAGCCCTTCCTGGGCCCCTGCCCTGCGCCAGGCTGGTGCTTAGGCTATGCCTTGGCCATGGGAAGTGCCAACAGTTATCATTAAATGGATTCTGACTCATGACAGCCCCATGTGTGTCAGAGGAAAACTGTGCTCCACAGGGTTTGCAGTTGCTGATTTTTTTGGAAGTTGATCCCCAAGGCCTTTCTTCCAAGGCACATCTGGGTGGATTTGAATCTCCAACCTTTCAGTCAGCATCCAAGCCATTAACTGTTTGTACCATCTGGGGACTCCTTCCCCATTATACAGATGAAGAGTCTCAGAAAGAAAAAGGGTCTTACCCCAAGCTGGTAAAAAGCAGGGCTGGACTAGAGCCTCAAACCAAAAAAAAAAAAACCCAAATTCATTACCTCGAGTGAATTCCGACTCACAGCAACCCCCATTGGGTGGGTTTCTGAGGCGGTAAACCTTTACGCAAGTAGATTGCCCCATCTTCCTTCTATGAAGCAGTTGTTGGGTTTCAACTGCCAGTCTTCTGGTTAGGAGACAGATGTGCCACCAGAGCTCCTTGGACTAGAGCCCAAACCCAAACCAAACGAAACACACTGCCGTTGAGTTAACTCATAGCTAGCACATCTGCTAGGGTTTCCGAGGCAGTATCACTATGGAAGTAGATTGCCCCATCTTCCTTCCGAGGAGTGGCTGGTGAGTTTGAACTGCCAGCCTTCCGGTTAGCAGTCAAATGCCTTAGGCACTATGCCACCAGAGCTCCTTAGACCAGAACCCAGGCCTGCTCAATTCCAATTCCTTCTCCATGACGACAGGGTCTGGGAGGAACTTCCCTCACGCAATGCTATGACACAAACCGCTTCCCCTCCCTGGACCTCAGTTTCCCTCTTTACAATTTTAACAGTAGCTGCCATGCCTGTCAGGAACTACATACATGTTGTCACATTCAGCCCTTACATTCACATCTGTCTGACCTGTCTGCCTGTGTTCATGCCCACTAAAGCTCCCCTGGACAATGTCTGAGTTCCTTCTTCTCAGTGGTGACAACACGAGGATGAAAGAACGTCTGACTGGATAGCCTGCTCTGTCCTCCCCTGTTCAGCAGCCACTCAGCCAGGGAGATAGAAGGCACCAAGCCTCATTCTCAAAACAAAAACTCAACTCAGTGCCGTCTAGTCGATTCTGACTCATAGTGACCCCTCCTTGGGTTTCTGAGGCAGTATCACTACGGAAGTAGATTGCCCAGTCCTCCTTCTGGGGGGTGGTTGGTGGGTTTGAACTGCCAGCCTTCTGCTTAGCAGTCAATGCCTTAGGCACTATGCCACCAGAGCTCCCTTTATCTTGAATGGCCCTGTTCCCCGGTGCTACCCCTCTGCCCTGTCTCCCCTCCATCCATCCCTCCCACTGGCCTTCAGGGGTTGGGGGTGGGGGGTAAGGAACAGGGTAGGGAATGGTGAGAGCAGCAGGATAGCGTTACCAGCCTTACATGAAACTTTAAAGGGACAGCCACTTGATCTGTACTCAGGCTCTGCCCAGGAGCAGGGGGAAGCAGGGTTCCTCCCTGCCTTGGCCCCCCCCCCAGTCTCCCACCCCTTTCTTTTGTAGAGGCCAATTTGAGGATTAAATCCGGCCCAGGTGCATCCTGGGCTTGATCCCAGCTGAGGCAGGACAGAGTGTTCCAATGCCTGGAACCAAAGGGAAAATATTAAGTTGCTTCAGGCTCTTTTTGTTCCCTTGGGAGAGTTCCTCACTGCTGGGTTTATTACCACCAAGGGCCCCTCCTTCCCTGCTAAACCAATCTACTCATACCCATCCTTCCTGGGGTTTAAACAAACACCCACAAAGGGCCCTGAGATTATTACTATTGAGTTCCCAAAGGTGATTATACAATGTGTCCATTAAATGCCAAGCGGCCCCTCAGGAGCTCTTGCTTATATAACCGTTGCCCAACACACCCTAAACGCTTCCCCCTCCAGTGAGAAAGCCTCTCACCACCCTTCTTACAGGCCTCAACCTTTTCCTCTGTACCACAGGGCGGTGACTTCTGCCCTGCCCGCTTCACATAAGTCAATTCAAACCTTCACTGAAGTGCACTACAGACTGTGAAGAGCTGTGCACATGCACCGGGCAGCCCTCACCAGGCTGCCAGGGACTGTAGAACTGGAGTCAATGGTAGTGACAGCTGACACATAAAGGGTACAGGCACGCAGATTGAGAACCCCCTGGATAACCTTGCTTGTAAATGCTCCCTGGGCTTGCTGGATGAGGTCCTTGCTCAGCCCTTCCTGGGCCCCTGCCCTGTGCCAGGCTAGTGCTTGGGCTATGCGTTGGCCATGGGAAGTGCCAACAGACAGTCACAGTCAGACCTCATTATCCGTTAGTGCTGGACACATGTTCTCTCATTAGATCATGGTAACTCCATGAGGTCAGCAGTATTATCCCCATTTTATACTGGATGAAATTGGGGATCATAAAAATGAGGTGGCAGAGCTAGGAATTGAACTCGTGTCTTCCTAACTTCATCACTGGCTGTGCTCAGATGGGAGCATGCACATCTGTGTGCTGCTGGAGAAAGAGAGCTTAAACTTCCAGAGACCTGGGGCTAGACCCTAGCTGCTATGATTTGCTGTGAAGGAGCAGATGAGATGCTTTTTAATATTCAACAACTCCAGAAGTTTCCTGAAGTCATAGCAGAGCCCAGAGGCCTCTCATGTAGCTTTCCAGGGTGGCTGGCAGCTCCTTCCCTAGCCCTAGCTGCTGCAGAGGTGGACCTGGCCTCAGACGCTGTCAACTACACTCAAGGCTGCTGGGAGAAGAGAACAGAAACCCCCAGGAGGTCTTACAACTTCTAGACCAAGATGGGGTTGAAGGCAGAGATGGGAAATGGTCTTTGAGCTATGTGGTTCCTCAGCCAAAGTCCTAAAAGCCAGCACCCCAAGTCTGCTCGGAGGAAATGCTTTCTTTGGTGGAAATATAAAGCAAGAGTTTTTCTCTAAGGCCTCCTTGTAAGCCCCTCATTTTCCAGGTCCTCAGAGCTGCTGAAGTCTGGTACTGCTGCTCCAAGCCCCACTTAAGAAAAAGGCTAAGGAGCCAAGGGGAGGATGGAACTTTCCAATGAGGAGACTGAGGGAAGAGCAGGAACCCTGCTTCTCCCAGGGGCACAGATTTTTATAGTTCACAAACAGCCTCAGCTCATTTGATGCGGCAAGGGCCACAGAGCAGGGCTTGCCATCTCTGACTTCACCCAAGAAGAGACTGTGGCCCAGAGAATTTGCAGTGACTTGTCTGGGGACCCTCAGTGAGGTAGTGGCAAGGCTGACTGACACTCATGGTCTGATATGAGTCATGGTCTCCTGACTACAGGCCTAGTGCGCCCCTCACCTCACTCAAGAGACCTGTTTTAACTCTCTTAGGGAACTTATGGAGTCAATAAAAATGTTCAGAAGTTTGCAAGCTCATGGGGAAGGCTGATGCCATAATGCTAGGTAATACAGGATAAACTGTATGTCCAAGAAAAATATAACTACACATTAAAAAAAAAAAAAAATCCTAATTTTGGAAAGTCTAGAAGGAAATATATCAACAGTCGTTTTTCTAAAATGGCAGAACTTTTGAGCGATATATATATATATAGGAGCTCTGGTAGCATAGTGCCTAAGGCACTTGACTGCTAACCAGAAGGCTGGAGGTTCAAACTCACTAGCCACTCCTCAGAAGGAAGATGGGGCAATCTACTTCTGCAGTGATACTGCCTCGAAAACCCAAGGAGGGGTTGCTATGAGTTGGGTCCGACTCGACGGCACATTAACAACAACTATATATATAACACACTAAGTAATCAAAAGAGCTCTGGTAGCATAGTGCCTAAGGCATCTGACCCCTAACCAGAAGGCTGGCGGTTCAAACCCACCAGCCACTCCTCGGAAGGAATGTTGGGCAATCTGCTTCTGTAGTGATACTGCCTCAGAAACCCAAGGAGGGGTCACTATGAGTCAGGTTCAACTCTATGGCACCGAGTTAAGTAACAAAGGTTCCTAGTAGGACTGCTTCACTGGCTACCCCTGCTTTCTCTGGTCTTGGCTAGACACAGTCTCTGAACTTCAGTTTCCTTAGCTGTAAAATGGAGATCGTAACATCTACCTCACAGGACTGTTATGAAGATGAAAGGAGATGGAAGGTTGCTGGACACATGGGGAGGAGCAGGTGGGGGTGGGGATCAGTGGTGGGCCTGCCCCTGACATCCTCCTCCCTCCTTCCTCCAGCAGACACGTATCTAACACTGTCAAAGCTCTTATCAGCACCCTCCTGGAGAGCAGTTACTGCTTCAGAGGCCACAATGTGATGTGTTTCTCAAAAGGACTGGTGGGTCTGGGATGGGATGAGTAATGTGAGTTCCTTTTGACAAAACCACCAGCCTCAGCTCCATGGAGAGGAAAGGGCCTACACAGAGAGCCAGGAGGCCTCAAACACTAACTTGCAGTATGAACTGGTAAGTCACCTCACCTCTCT